AATACTGGGACATGTTTGTCATATAAACGAAATCTGGTTTTGTTGTGATTTCGTACAGCGAAACTAATTTTGTCGGTTATGGCCTGTCTGTGATATTTAGGATGCAATCAGGTCTTCCTAAAATTTGCTCGTTCGTCGGTGTACTGACTGAATCGTGCATTTACTGTTGTGTTATCGCTGCGATGCAACATAGTAGATATTTTTGCTATACTCACATTGTACGTACTTATAAACGCTTTCATATATTGTAGATATCGTACCCGAAAATTTAAATTAATACGAGTAATTTGTGATTCCTAGTCTTAAAAAATAAAATAGTATTGTTAGTTTCTTAATCATACTTTTAACAAATTTATTATTTTAACTTTGGTACGTTAAAATTAATGGTTATTTATTCGTTTTCAGAATAATTAGCAACATTATCAATAGTATTTTTAGACTAGAATTAGAAAAGTTGGTCTGTAGGAAATTCGTAGTAATATCTGATTAGTCGACTAGACAGGAGATTTTGTTCATTTTCAATGTTGCCATGTTCGCAATCTTATTTTTGTAATATGTAGTAGTAGTATAGTATGGTATTATTCTAAAACATCAGTTTACTTATTATTTGCCAATTCAACCATTTATTTAATTTTATGCAAAGCATATTGTAAAAGTCTGGAAATCCTCTAGCTAGCACTAATGGCTGATCTAAGATAGATGGGACAAGAGCCCAGTTTCCCCTATCGGTATAAATTAGCTGTGGTGTCGTACGCCTCAGAACAATACTGTGGTCGTGGTGGCCACTATATCGATTGTCTGACTGGTCTCTTCGCATTTGTACTGTGGATGTGAGTCTTTAAACTAATGACGGATAATTTGACCCTTAAAATCTATCCAAGTCAAACAGTGACCCTTTTTGATAGCCACATTTGCGAAATAAGCAATGTATACCATTTATGGCATATGTTTCGAATTAAGCATTGTGATATTAATTTAGCAGAATCCATCCTTCGCCTCTTTTACAATGATTGAAAGGTTATATCGTACTATAGTATGAGTCAAACGTGTAAATATGCTATTTATAATAATATTACTGGGAATTGCCCGAAAATTTAAATTTATTGTTAATTGTCTTTTAGTTTTGATGATCTTCTGAGCCATGAAAAGGTTGATCGTAAAGTTTTACTGCTTTATAAAAAGTACTTCCATTAAACTGAGACTGGTTCAATATTTTTTGGCCATTTAATTTTAATACGAAATGTCATGATTTTCATATTATTGATTGCTTTTAATAAATGTTGTTAATTTCTTATCGGTTTTTGTTTTATTTTTACTAGAAATATAATAATTTTTGAAATTAATATGATTTCTGTACAGCGTTATATTTTTAAGGAATTCATATGCTTGGTTGGTTAGTTTTTAGTATTAAAAAAATTATTATTATTTTATTCATTTATGACAAGGAATTAAAATTGGGCATTGCAGAATAATATAATTGGGACAATGGATTTTAATACACCACTTTGATGTTCAAGTTTTCCGATCATGCCTTTTTGTTTGATTTTTGAAGTGATATACTGACAATTAAAAAGTATCTATGGTATTACAAATCTCATGGTAGCCCTAAGATTAATCCCTTGTTTCATACGTGCAAATAACGCTCTTAAGTCTAATACATTTGGCATGCATTTCGCATGTTACACGCTATATTCAGGATTCGAAGTAGCCATAGTGTTGCGGCTGGCAGGTGACAGGAGCTCCCATAAATCTGCCCGTACAGCCTACGTCGTATACAAGACCGAAGCACAATCCCTTGATCTATTTTAATAATTTCCAATTATTTCAATCATTGAACGGTGTTGTATTTTAAATGTGTGAAGCGTAACTGTTGTTATTTTTTGCATTTTTGATTATCACCCATTAATAAATTTTAATAGAGTAATTTAACGCGCTAGTAATTCATATAGAGTATGCCTTATTAATTAATTCGATAACTTATTTTCTTAATTTTTAAAACTCTTCTTATGAAGAGTATAAAAATCATCGTTAAATTAAATAGTAACAGTAAACGTATTAGTAATTTAAGATGACTGGTAAATACAAAATATATCATTCATTCATTACGCAAAAATATTGATGGGGACAGAGGATAGCGAGGACAAAAACGGTTTTTAATTAATTACTGGTAAACTATTACTTTTATTCTAAATTGCTAAATAATTCTCTACAAAGTCATTTACATATTTATCAATTTACCCTATAAAACGGGTACATTTACAGCAAGAAAAGGAAAGATGTCAATGTTTATGGGTAACTTTTTGATTTGTTCTAACGGTAAGTTTTAATTAATTACATTTATAATATTTAATGACAGCTTATTTGTACGTTATTTCTTTGCATATGTAGAACCAGTTGAAAACTTTTGTTTTTATGTACTCGCTCTCTTCACAAAACAGAGAATTGTCATTATTAATCCTATATAATTTATTAGATAGACCAGAGAAATAAAACCTATAGCCAGTGTAACAAAACTCTGCATCGCTTAGCAGTTGCTTAAAACAGATTGAGTATAACAATAATTTGTAACAACAGCCCCGCAATTCGCACCTATAATAATTTTAGACGATGGTTTATTAGGCACTGTCTCTGCTAAGTAGTGGCTCGCTGCACTCGGACTCAGAGGCAGGTTCGAGCCCCGGGCAGGCAGATTTACGAGGTGGCGCGCTCGTGCCTGGCTACACCCCTCCCCTTATATCCCCACTCCGTGACGGGAATGTGGTTTAGGGTTGGCAATTGTTTTTTTAACATTAGCCATAAAAGATTATTTATTTCTTCATTTTTCAAAGGCTTATTTACATTCAGTGATTATTTATTCCACAAAAAACGCAAATTAGAACACTGAAAGGATTTATAAGTATTTATAATTTTAATGTTGGTACGTTAAAAATGAATGGTATTATCTATTAAGCTAAAAATATGTTTTAGTAATTAAATTATAAAAAAAATTGTGATCTTATAATGGTCGAAATTTAAAATTGAAACTTCTAGTTCAAGTAAGTATCTCACAAACTAAAGAGCTTAAAGTGCATATTTAAAAATATACTGTATTTTTATCGGTTCCAGAACTATTTGTGACTTTTTAATGTAAATTTCTCACTCCTCCTCTAAACAAAATTTTCAGTTTTCTATAGTTATTAACAACACAACCTATGTTTAAAAAGTTATTATAAGATAATACGCATCACAATGCTCAACCAGAAGAGAATAAAATGAAACTCAATGTTTCTTTTCTTTAATAGGTCATATAATAAACGTGAAAAGTGGGTACACTTTATTTTAATATTATGGAAGGTATGATCAGCAAATTCAATAATTAAAACTTCTTTGTGTTAAATAATTTATTGTTAAGAAAGAAAGAAATTTACATTACAAATATTTTATTAAGCGATTTCGAAATATCAAATGTTTAATTAAGCGATTTGGAAATAATGTGGATTGGTTATATCTTTAACTACAATAGTGGAATTTAATTTAAATTTTGTTACTATTCCTGTTAGTGGTAGCCCTGCGACTCAGTTTTCGCGGTCAGTCATCATAACGGCTCTTCATTTATGAACACTGTTGGATATCTCAGTTTCAATTAGGTATAATAAGTTTTTGACTAATTGTTGATTAAATGGTTATATGAATTTGATTTAAATGGAGAGCTAATTTACGTTAATAAATAATAATTTTATTATGAAAAAATGTAAATAACAAACAGACTAGCTATAAAACTAGTATTATGTACAACAAAGTTACATCCCGAGACTTTTCGGGTCTTTGCAAATATTAATACTAAATAATTTTGGTTTAACTACTGTACTAAAGGTACGGAATCACAGAGCATCAAATGTTAAACGTATAACAAGGCAGTAGCTTATAGGAGTAGTTGTTAATGGCTTTACTGTCGATTGTAAAGAAAAGTTTTATTAAAACATTCTTATTTTTATGTGTATCTGTGATTCTGTTTATTTGTTCGCAATAATTGCATCTCAATAGAGTCCCAACTACTTGTATTTTGTCATTGTTCTATCTACCTGAAGACCAATATTATTAGTGCAATATATCCCTGACAAATCGATGTTGACAGATATGTTTATTATTTTGTGATGAGTAACAACAATTGTGTCATATAGGGTTGTAGTTGAAGCGCTATGACTTTTCCTGATTACGCTAACTTAGCGAAATTGCCGTACTGGACTCAATTTCTTACCTCTCAGTGTACCAACACAGGTGTACATAGCACATTTTTGTCTACGATAAATTTATCTAAAATTGAGATAGTTCATTTATTAGTTTTATACATTAATGTGTGCAGAGTTATCTTTAAAATTGAATGTAGACTGCGACAATCTTATGTATTTTCATATATAGATGAGACACACGTAACGCTACCGTATTTTGACTTCCAAAATATACGATAAGTTAAATCTATTATATGTGTTTGATTTAATTTATTTGCGTATTGTTATTTTGATATAACCAATTTTAAAAAAAATCTATACGTATATATATAATTAATATACTTCAATTGTAGGCAATTAACTTTACATTAACTTGACTAAAATTTAATTTAACACTGAAGGTATAGTTCACTGACATCACTTTGGTTGATAATTGGATAATAACAGGCTGATTTTGTTAGAGTAGTTTGATAATAGCTACCTGTCTACCTGAGTAAAGGGCAACGTGGATATGTAATTATTTAATTATATTACTTAATTCGTAAATATAATAATAGTTCAATTTGACTTTCAGATTACCTAAATGTTTGTTTATAGAGAGGCAGCAAAAAATGAAACAAACTAGAAACTTACTTCGATGCCATGCTACAAATGTCTGTTATATTTAATTTGTATATCTGGATATTTTGTAGACGAAACGGAATATAGAGATTTCTTTCCTATAAATTGACAAATTACTTTTAAACCGATAATTAGCTTGTGGGTAGCAAACAATAAAAGTCAGCTGTTTTTGAGCTCTCATATAATAATTAATTTAAATTATTTATTCTATAATTCTGTACTCCTAATTTATGGAATAATACTTGCTAGGCTTACCACACTTGTTGCAATATAAATCTTACCACATATCCAATTACAAGAAAAATATCACTCTGCACTTGAACAATGGATCACAATCTATCTGAAAATTTGGCTAATCTTGAAAAAATATTTGATTCACGTCTGCGTCAGTATGATGAAAAGCTTCAGAAGGTTACCACTGGTTCCAATGTAGTTAATCCTGACATCGCAGCACTGTCACGTGAGTTCTACGAATTCAAGAACTTTATTTTTGATGCATTGAAGGCAATAAAACAACAACTTCAGCTGCTTACTGCAAGCCATGATAGGCATGAAACAGCTATGCGACGGAAAGTGTTACTCTTCCATGGCATTCCAGAGTCTCAAAATAGTAACCCAACAGAAGAGGTTCAGCAGGTGATTGCCCACAAACTCAAGCTTAATGAGTTCAATAGTGAGGGACTAGTGGTTTGTCACAGACTTGGCTCTTCTTCATCCAAAACACGTCCTATTCTGGTTCGCTTTAATGACTATGAACATCGTCACCTCATATGGGAAAATAAGTCTGCTTTGAAGGGTTCCGGAGTAACAATTTCAGAATTTCTAACAAGAAATCGGCACAGTATTTTTATGGCTGCTCGTAGGCATTTTGGAATAAAAAACTGTTGGTCATCTGATGGTAAAATAATCATTTGCCTACCTAACAAAAGTAGAAGGCGAATTGAAACCGAATCAGAGTTACATTCACTCATAGAATTATTTCCATCAAGTGCCTGCGATAACACCTCTGAAGCAAACCCCATAGCATCAGCGGCATCATCGAAAACCCCCAATGAAGTGTCTGCTCGAGGAGTTAAGAAAACCAAGCGTCGGGTCTGATGTGTAATGATGTATTGGGATCATTTGTGGAGCATTGCATTGGATCTGTTTTATTAGTGCATTCTTTGTTGCGTCGTCGGGTAATGCTGATCTCTTGCAGGTAGGTAAAAGATGATTTCCATTTAAATCTCCGTTACTCATCTTCATAATATTTTATTGCACTTGACGGTGGACACAGAATTTAGTAACGGACACATTTAACTTTAACTTTGAGAATCATAACATCCACTTTAATGATGACTTTGACAATTTGACACTAAGCTCTTTTTTTCATGTCAGCTGTCACTTACTATTATAACGCAAGGACGCCAAACGGCACGTTCCGTTACACAGAGTGTAGTGATGTGCAATGCAATGCTCCTGATGGTTGGTTAATATGTTTTTTTTTTTTATTAACCTGTTTTATATATTTATTTTTTTACTATAATTTCATATATATATTTTATTTAATTGCTTATTTATCTGTTTTAAATTGTGTTAATCCATTTTAGTGTCGCTGTACCGCCATCTAGTGAAACTAATTTTGATATTTTATTTCTTTATTTTTTTTTTATTATTTATTTCCAATGCTTTTGTCGTTTGGCTTTAATGTTTGTTTTTTTTTTTTTAATTTAACTCTGTGTTTATTAATTGTTCATGTTGAGTGATATTGATATGTATGATGGTAGTTTGAATTTTTAAATGATCGCAATTAGTATGCAGCATGTGTGGAAAGCTCCGCAATTAGTTTTTTTATTTATTATTATTATTATTTTTTACACAAATATTTATTATTATTTAAATTTTAAATAAATATATTATATTATTTATTCATATCTATATAATCTTAAGTACATACTATACAAATGGACCTCTTTGATATCGATGACAGTTTTTTTTCTTGTTCTTCCAGTTCTTCATTACCTAGCAGCTTCAATAGTGCTGATAGTGTTCCCGTAGTGTCTTTGCATGAACAATTAGCAGGTATTTTTTCCAATCACTCTCACAATTTCAACGTGGCACATGTAAATGTACAGAGCATTCCTGCTCATTACACAGATATTTTGGCATCTATTAGCAGCTCATATGTCGATGCTTTCTTGGTTTCGGAGTCATTTCTAAAACCTTCCCTGCTATCTGCGCAATTCGCAATTCCTGGCTTCAATCTTGTTCGCAACGATAGGATCGGTAAGGGTGGTGGAGGGGTTGCAATTTACATTCGTGATGATATCCCGTTCCAGGTGATTAGTATGTCTCCTTCAAATTACAGTGAATCTGCAGAACACCTTTTTCTTGATGTAACTATCCGTGGTACAAAGGTTCTTCTTGGAGTTTTCTATTCCCCTAATCTTACTATAGACTACTTTGACTCTTTTGATAAACTTCTTGACTTATTGAGAGCTTCTTTTGACCATATTATGCTCATGGGCGACTTTAACACGTGCCTGTTGAAAAACAACTCACGGTCCACTGAATTGCAATCAATCTTATCCTCTTACGATTTACATATTCTTCCTCTGTCACCTACTCACCACTTCCCTAATTGTGCGCCTTCACTACTTGACTTAATGATAGTTGCATCTCCTGACAATGTAACAACACACGGTCAGGTTTCTGCAAGCTTCTCCTACCATGATCTTATCTATCTGTCATATCGATTACGTCACCCAAAACGAAAACCTCTGTATATTACACACCGTAGCTATAAGAGCATTGATTTGGAGGTCTTGAGACAGAACGCTGGTGATTTGGATTGGTCGTCAGTCACTGATGCTGCTAATATTGATGATAAGGTTTCCCAGTTCAATTTAAAGATAATTGGATTGTATGATGAACATGCCCCCCTTCGTCGAGTCAAAGTTAAGCATAATCCAGCACCATGGTTAAGTTCTGAAATAAAAGAGACTATGGCAAAAAGAGATAAGGCAAAAAGAGCATATAAGAAACGTCCAACTAACCGCAATCTTATTCGTTTTAAGGTTCTTCGAAATTGCTGCAGTCGTATGTGTAGGGATGCTAAGCGACGCTTCTTCCATAGCTCTCTTACTGATCGCAATCCTACTGATGCCTGGCGGTTTTTGCGCTCTGTAGGAGTGGGGAAATCTACTGCTACTGTGTCTACCAATGTAGATTTAAACGTCCTTAACAGACACTTCTCCCTTCCTCCTTCTACTATCGATGGTGACATAAAGGATTCTACGCTCGCAGAACTTTCACTGGTTCCGAGGCCAGACTGCACATCTTTTGTCTTTTCAAAAATATCCGAAACTGACATTAAAAATACTATTCAATCCATTTCTTCCGAGGCTGCTGGCGAGGACAACCTAAGCGTAAGAATGTTTACCCCTATTTTATCTTTTCTCCTTCCTATACTTGTTCACATACTTAACTTCTCACTTGAATCCGGTTCTTTTCCCAAAATTTGGAAGATGGCGCACATTATTCCACTGCCTAAAGTATCTAATCCTTCAGTCCCATCTCATTTTCGTCCTATTTCTATTCTTCCCCTTCTCTCTAAACTTCTTGAGCATATTGTTCATAAGCAATTATCAACTTTTCTTTTTTCTAATTCCCTTTTGAATAGGTACCAATCCGGTTTCCGCCCTGGTCACAGTACTGTAACAGCTTTAATAAACATTACTGATGATATTCGTTGGGCTATGGAGAATAAAGCTCTTACAGTTCTAATTCTTCTAGATTTCAGCAGTGCTTTTAATTCTGTCGATTTTGACATTCTTCTCGCTATTCTTCGTTCTTGCAATATCTCTCCTTCTGTTCTCTCATGGTTTGATTCCTACCTTCGGGGACGCACGCAACGTGTGCGTCTTGATAATAAATCTTCTGATTGGTGCGATCTCGGTGCGGGTGTTCCTCAGGGTGCTGTTCTCTCACCTCTCTTATTTTCCATTTTCATTAACTCGGTTACTAAAGTTATATCTTCCAACTTCCACCTCTATGCAGACGACTTGCAGCTTTATCGACACTTTAAAATAGAAGACTGTAACTCGGCACTGGTAGCTATTAATAACGATTTGGATCGCATTAGTACTTGGGCAAAATCGTTTGGCCTCATGCTTAACCCGAGTAAATCTCAGGCCATTGTGATAGGTAGCAGGTTTAATATTAATTCTATTTCTGCATTATCTTTACCACCCCTGCTTTTGGATGGGACTCAGATCCAGTTAACAGACACCGTAAAAAATCTTGGAATTACAATGGATTCAAATCTATCATGGACTGTCCATGTATCTGAGGTTAGTCGTAGGACCTTCTTCTCATTTCACACACTTAAATGCCTTCAACATTTTTTACCTTTTAAAACTAAAGTATTACTAGCACAATCCTTAATTATACCTCTTCTTGACTATGCAGATGCATGTTACTTGGATGCCACTGAGGAGTTATTAAACAAACTTGAACGACTTCAAAATCTAGCGATTAGATTTATTTATGGTCTTCGTAAGTATGATCATGTGTCACATTTACGTAAGCAGCTCATGTGGCTTCCCATTCGTCAGCGTAGAAATGTCAGGATTGTCTGTCTTCTGTTCAACATCCTGTATAATCCCGTCTATCCTTCCTATCTGCGTGAGCGTTTCTCCTTTCTCCGTTCTCCTGATGCTCTTTGCAGATCTCACCTTAAGTCCATTCTTCAAACTCCTTCTCACAAAACGGATTTTGCTTCATATTCCTTCACTGTTCATGCTGCTAGACTCTGGAACTCTCTACCTGCCGATATACGTGACAGTCGCACTATTTCTGTGTTCAAAAAAAGAGTAAAGAATCATTATCTTTCTTGTTGTTGATATTGGAGAGTGTAGGTGTTATAATCTTTATATATTATAGATAGATATATATATTATTATTTATATTATGTTTGCACCGTTATGTATTTTTATTTTCTCTCTTTCCCGGTATTTGAATTTGTTATTTATATTCCATATGAATTTATTTAGGAGGTACACACTGACTACCTTATTGTATTTTTTTTTCCTGTTTTGGGCCTGCTGGTAGAAATTTCAATTTGAAATAAGCAGTGCCCTTGTACTAATGTCTGTTACATTTGTTCATATGAAATTGTATGTGTGTATATAATCAAAGAAGTAGTTTATTTATCAGTAACCGTTTCAAAAGAAAATATTTGGGCTGTCTGCTATGGTTATGTAAGTATAAAAATATAGCGAGTCAACATAACGTACTTACTTTATGTATTTGATTTAAAATGCTTACTCAAAATTACACTTATGTAAATCCTTTCAATTACAAAGGAATCACAATTATAAAGAACAACAAGAGGTCAGAAGAGTGCTATAAAATTTAGCGGATCATTACTTTATATTGGCACAGTAATTGAAAATCAACGACCAAATAAAGGCAAGGAAATTGAGGTGATTTAAAATTAATGAGACACATGCAATTTAATTTTGTACCCACCAGCCACTCTACGACACTCAATCTGAAAACGATGGAGGTGTAAATACTGTCTGCCAAGCAACGGGCAATAGCAGTGAACAGTCTACTGGAAATCGTGACACTGTGTGACAGCTTTAATATATTGTATGCGGTGAGATTGGCTCACGGAATCGTTAAAAGATACAACCAACGTAATTATCCATCAACAGGGTGCTTTTTCTCGTAAATCCCAAGTTTTATATCTAGTACCCTCAAAGCTGTGCATAAAATTGTCGCAAACGAAATGAGAACGTTCCGATTAATTAGATGCGACCGCTACGCCCGATGCGACGCGGTGGCGTTACATCATGACGAGCGAAGCCCCGCGTCTCACGCTCCACCCCTCTCTCGTTTGTTTTAAAACTACCCGCAAAGGATTTTAACGAGATTACTCTGAGTACGTTTTATAGGTCATCTCAGGAGATTTATTTAACTCCGATTTGTAAGGCATTTTTCATCTCGTGCAGATTAAAAGAATTTCACTCATTAAAAATAATGGATCTCGGTTTACACCCGACGAAATTCACTCGCAGATTGCTTGCGGTTTTAGCGTTCAGTTTTAGTGCGGCTATTAACTTGACAATTTGCAATGACACTCGACGATTAAAAATCTGGCACTATAGATTTTAATTAACAATTTTATATGGTCTATATTATAGGCATTTTTGTGTGTAATGGTTTTATTTTATTACAAAATAATGTGCACCGTGATATTAGAATTATCTGATTTTATTAACTTATAAAAAAGATTATTTTTTGAATTCTATTACATTTATGTTAATTAAAAAATTACCTCTGGAT